AAAAATAAGCCTGAATTTCATCAACATTGTCTTGTCAGTGGCTCTTCTTTGAAAAATGTTTAATTTTTGTCTTCACTGATTCTAAGAACATGTCCTGATATAACTTCATGGAATCTTGCTCATTATTTGTGTTTTCAATGTATAAAAAGTATAAGAAAACCTATCCCTGGCAACAAGCCATTAAAGCATTTAGCTCCCAGTTCTGAATTTCTTAAGCTTCTGACGTGTCTCAGAGACAGGAAGTGTTTGATTTTTCTTCTTTAAATAATAATAAAAGAGCCCACCATATTATTCTAGTGACAATTTTGTCTTTATCTTTTCTGAACATTGTTTCCTCACAGTCTGAGCCAGATTTCCTGTGGTATAATATTGTTAAGATAGGAGAATGAGAGGAGGTATTTAGTAGTGTGTTTTTTGTGTGTGTTTGGGGGGGGGGGGGGGTTGTTCATTTTCTAGCAGCAATATCCGATTGGAATCTAGGGCTGGCTTAGTCACAGTGATGAAAGAAATCTCCATTTGCGAAATACGAAGTGACTTTCTTTTGCTTAGAGAGAGGCGGTGATTGGCTGAAGCATAGCAACAGCCTTCAATTGGCTTGATTATTTGGAGTTGTTTCGTGTTTGGTTGTATTTTTGTCCTCTGTGACGTACAGTCTCAAGACTCAGGCTTGCAAGAAACTATAAGAGTTGGGTCTACCCATTCCAGCGTTCCTCCGCTACACATTTTTCGGAGTCTGCCTCCCGTAGTATTGAAGAAGCTCTGCTACTGCACAGGCATGTCATTTGTGGTTTGAATCCACAGACCAACTTACAGTGCCTGTTCTGGATCTGAATGGATTGAAGCTGGGATATTTGGATAAATGGATTAAGGCAGCTGTATGGTCACGGGAAATTGATTTGAGTAACTCTTGAGGAACTGGGACGTGTGTCTCATCACATGCAGAGCGCAGTAAGTACTCTATGCCATGTTTGAACTTGGCTTTGTGGCATACAGAGGTGGAGAGGTGATAGTCTATGAAGAGATTCAGCTATTCTGGTGTGACTGATCTCCAGAGAAAGCCACCAAGCTCATCCAAGGTGGGTATGGGGGAATTGTCTCACAGTGCAATTTGTTTGTTTTCCAGTCATTTCAGGATTAAATCAAATCAAGAGGATTGCACTTAATGATATGTGGCTGAGATGATGATTGATTAATTTTGATTTGACAGTGGATTTGAAATCGAGCCTCAGATTTCTTTCACTCTCAGCCATGCGTTAAGCTGTTTCTATTCATTACATTTAATTTTAGTGTTGCTTGAGGCTAAAACACTCAGAGTAGCAGAACCTCTTCTAAAATCTATTGCAGCAAACTTGTCTGAAATGTTGTCTTGTTTGCTAAAACTATACACTGGGTAATAATTAAATATTATAGTAGATAACAAACTGTATATCTTAAATACATACTGCTGTACATCAAGAAAACAAAACCACACATATGTAAAAGACAGACAGGATAACAAAATAATAAAATACAAAGAGGAATGATGCTTTTATAAATACAAATGAGAATTATGTAATTGGCATTTATAAATAAACCTGATAATTTAGTTTCAAAAGGATTTAATTAATTGTTTCATCATATTTTTCCGTCTTTTGCTGTAGTACTTACTAAGGTTTTTCTAATGATTATATTTAAATAGTAATCGGTAATTAACCGATTGGTTTGTGTTAACATGGTTTGTGCAGCGAACAGTGTATCATCAGAGGAGTCTTGATGTAATGTCAAACTGTGAAAGGATGTAGGGTTAAGCTATATCAAGCTATATCAAATGCCTTTCTCTGAGACTGCATGACAAATTCTGGCCCTGTAGGAATTAATGATAAAATCCAATTTTAGTTAACTTAAAAGTATACAAATGACAAATCAAAAACGTCAACTGTGACATGTTTTGGAAGTATCATCTATAGTGTTTCATTGGTTTAATGAGTATAACTAAGAATGCAGGCTAATGCAATTTTTGTAAAATTTGAGAGTTGCTTGCCATGAGTATTGATGTTAATGCTAAATATTAAAACATTGTGGGACCTCTCCCTTTGTCATCCCCTGTGATACAGCTATCAATGCAATACAGCTATTTGTTCACTTAAAGTGTGCTTATAGATTCCTCACTGATATTCCAGCTGGAGCCGTTATCAATATTATTAATAAGTAAGACCCTATCTGTTCTGCTACCATGAACAACACAAGTTTATGAAATTCAAGAAGCACTATAACCTCCAGTCTTCATATTATAGCTGTGAATATGATGTTTTCCCTGTAGTGCAGTTTTTGGTTTTTTTCGGGCAATACTTATTTCTTATTTTAAGCTCTTGTACAGTATGTGGCTGGTAAGACTTTGAGAATGGTGGGATAAATTTAAATTTAAAATCCATTCCATGAAAAGCTGAAAACCCTCCCACATTTCTGGAGCAGAGCTTTCTTGACTCTCCCATTAATCGGAGCTGAACTTAAATATTATAGTGGATAGCAATAAGCTGTATATCTTAAACACATCTCATACTACTGTACATCAGATCCCCAAAAATATACACACACATGTTAAAGGCAGAGAGCAAAATAAAAGAAATACAAATAGGAACTTCCAGTTTAGACCTCTAGTCAAAACAAAATAGGAACATAGAAATTAGAAGAAGCAAAGTCGTCATATACTGTAAATACATCAAAAGCTCTGACTTTAGCCTGGTAGTCTTAGGGAAGAGAGTGCTGTGGTTTTGATTGATTGTGAGAGACTCTGAAAAAGTCAGGTCATTCTTTGCTTTTATGTCTGTGGCCACCCCTGGACAAAGAAAGCTAAGTATTTGTACAGCTGTCTGTCCGAAGAGAGAGGTAAACTATGAAGAGTCAGCAAGTAGCGTGCTTGTTTTGATTGGAGGACTGCATCACACTTGTGGCTGGAAGATGAGCGTGCTGCTCTGCTACCCAGAACAAGGTTGTGTGTAAAATTCTGAAAAAGTAAGCTTCTGTGCTGTTTCTGTAATAAGTCACATTTTAAAAGTCGGTGGTGGTGACAGTTGTGTCCCTGTCATTCTTATTTATTTATTTGAAGTTAGTTTTAGTAACTAATGGAAACAGGAGTATCAAAGATGCATGTGCTCTTCCAGACTCCAGTATACAATAGAGGCAGTATATTGCATTTTTTTAACTTTCTAATTCTTTGCTTCTAAGCTAATAAAGTACTCCTCTGCGCTAGACATTTTTGGTTTTGATAATGTTATGCAAGGTTATAATTTACTTGTTAAATAAATGTGAGAATCCAAAGAAGATTTTCATTTCATCTGAAGATTTCATTCTTACAAGCCAAAAAACGTATGCCAGAAGTACTGGATGTTAAGCCCTGAAAAACTGCCATTGGAAACTGCGTTTCCTCATTTCTCATGTGTGTATAGCACATGTTATTTTGCAAATACATTAACAAAAATAATCTTAATTTCTACAGATTCTCTCATGTGAGCCAGACCAAAAATGTGTTCTTAATTTATGCTTTAACCAGTTTGAAAGGAATTTTTTTTTGAGAACACAGGCACTTCAGTTATTCAGTTCACAAAAAGTGGTGCAACTCTTATTTTTGCCTACATCTCTTACTCACACATACAGTACACCCAAAGATGTAGATCATTGATACAGTTTGGAAGCTTGTTATGCATCATGACCTTTCCGATCCTCTTCCATGCTAGCTATCCTTTTGTGTGTCGGGGTATGTGAGGAGGGACTGATCGAATTTATTTTAATAGCACCCACTGTTCCACTGTTGTCTGTCCTTCTGGGCTGCCCCCACTTTGGAGTTTGTTTGGAGTATAGGAGAGTATCTTCTCATATTGTTGTGCATTCTTCTGTTTTTTCCTGATATTTAATTCCTCTCCACCAGAAATGACAGGAAAGTGAGTTATTGAAACATACAGTGCCCGACTATCAAACAAAAGCCTCCCACTGCATGCAATACAGGTTTAATAGAAAAGCCAAAAACTGAAAACAATGGGGGCAACATCAGTGTCTCACTTGGGATTTGAACCCACAGCCTTCCAGATATGAGGCCAGAACCCTGGCTGCTTGCTAGACTGCAGGCTGATACTTTCTCGCACTGTGGGTGTTCGCTGAGGCTGGCCTGCCAAGTGGTTTCAGTTGACACATGTGTTTGCGCTAATCTCGCCTGCTTTCGTCAATGTTTTCAGTTGTGCTTTCAGCAGCAAGAACTGTGAGCAAACTCTTGAGTTTTTCATTCCTCAGCCATCTCTGTTGGATTTTGGAATTTACGATCCTCTCAAACCCACTGCTGGTCTAATACTCACAGACAAGTATTGAAATACCACATCATCCAATGTCACAACCTGTCATCAGATAAGCATGATGGGGAAAAATGCTTTGTGTATAAGAATCTTCTGTTGGCTATGCTTGTCTGTTTTAGTTCCATGCTGTGCTTAATTCCATGTCTCTGCTAGTGTTACATTGGGTTGGTGCTCCAATGAATTTCGAATGAAAAAACCAGCCTCACTTCCTCAGTCGAGGACGTTAACTGGACAGTGACTTTAGCTTGAAAACTGCAAGGGGTCTGTACTTGCTGGGCTGACACTCGGGGCTGGTGTGGCTGAACCCTGCAGCTCAATCGAATAAGTACACAACTAAAATGTGCTGCTAGCTCTTGATCTTATTCTTTCTCCTGCAGGATGGAAAAATGAGAATTATCAAAAAAGATCCTGATCTGGCAAAGAAACCAGTAGAATGAGAGAGTAACATCCCTTACCGATTAAGATCACACGGCATCCTAATTATATTAATCATTGTTTAATGTGGGTGGTCGGGCATACAGTACAAATTGCAACATCAGAAAGTTATTTTTACCTGACCCACTTTTGCAGAGGTAATATACCAAAATGGCATGCTTTATCGCAATTGTCCCAAGGTTGACTGCTTTAGGTGCCCCTCTTTGTGGCTTATAGTCGTTCCTGTGTGTTTGGTTGTTGCAGAAGGAGTGTCCCGGTGATCAGGCCTCACTCCTGGCACTTGGCCAAACTCTCCGAGTCCTCGGCCGATGCCCCTGCGATGCATCTCCACCCTGGCTCCTACAACCTGCCATGGCACACCGGAGGCGACGCCAGGTGAGCGACACTGCCCGACCACTCGAAAGCACGCGGCATCGCCCGCCGCCTCCTGGATCATCAGAAGCGTCGCCGAATAGACGTGCTGCTTCCCTTTACTGCCCTGCAAAAAAAAAAAACATTTCAAAAATAATTTTAAATAGAAAACATTTTTAACTTCACTGTTACATAGGAACTGAAAGTTAGGGAACATTCTGGTCAGAGAAACGTTAGGACCATTTGTCTTATTTAGTAGTATCGTTTTGATCCAAAAGTATCATCCAGCAGTGATATCGATGCCTTCTGTTGGTTTTGCTCTTTACTCTTGAGATAAACAAAGTGTCCCCAGCTTTTAAGTCCTGATACATCTTTAGTTATGATTACAAGCCAGCCATACATTTGTCAGAGTGTAGTTGTACTCTGTATGTCTCGAATACTGCACTGGAGATACAGTCTACACTTACAGGTATTGTAATGAATTGTAGGATTAGTTTTCCATTATTATATCATTTCTATTTTAACCAAATGGAATGTTCTGGGGCTGCTGTGTTGGGAAGGTCCTGTGAAACTGCAATTGTTGAACAAGGGAAGTTTCTGGGGCTTACACATTTCCAGAGAAAAACAATTAGGAGGAAGTTGCATGATCTCAGACTCATGTCAACATTTGGAGCACAGGATACAATGACTATTTTGAGAATCTGATTCTGAAATTGTAAGAGTACCAAAAAAGGAACAGAAAAAAATACTTCGCTAAGATGGGTGCAGACAGGCCCATCAAGTTTTCAGTCAGTTGGAATAAAAAAGGAGCACCTGATGCCACACATTTTTTAAATTTCAGTGTGGTTTTGTCACTAAAGTTTATTTAAAGTCTGTTCAAAAACTGACATGCCATTTCACCAATCTATTCATTTCCCAACTTCTTTTCCAAAGAAGCAGGGATGCTGGAGCCTATTCCAGCAATCAATGTGTGTAAATGTAAATCTTTCAGTCTTGGTAAATTACTAATTGCTTTGACTCACAGGAATGTACTGAAAATGTACTGATTTCTTATTTTAACATTCTATGAACACTTCGGATCAATAGCTCCACTGTTCTAATGCCCTGGGCTACTTGATGAAAATTACTGGTGCGCAGTAATTACGTTATGATAGGTATCATGGATATAATTTTCTTCAATTATGTCAAATGATTTTTTAAATGAGCAGGATCTTGAATTGTTTACACGAAGCTGGGTTTGTTTAATTTCATGTCTTTCGTTCTTGACCTTGTAGCCTCTCTGCCCTCAAATGTTTGAGAAGGTTTCAAGGATTTTTTTGTTACCTGCCTAGAACTGCAATGCTTTTTTGTTTTTGAAATTATTGGTAGACCTGCTAAGTTGACCCATGTTTAAATACCTAAAAAGGTTGGCAGGCTCTTACCTTATCCTTTTCATTTTGTCTCAATTTCTGCAATTCTAAAGCACTAAATTGACTTAGTTGTCAAAGCATTACAGTATACCTGTTTTTAAGAATGTACAAGGGGAGGTTTGGCCTTATATGTACACATCTAGGAACAGGTAAAGTTTTATTCTATGCTGAAAGGAAAATGAATGAGATACAATGTTTCTACAGGGGTCAAGGTGTCAGCATCTGTAGAAGGCTCTACAGCCGAAACATTGTGTCTCTTTTCTCTTCCTTTCAGCATGGAATAAACCTTTACCTGTTTCTTTGCAGCCTACACCCTGACGCGGCTACCTGCTTGAACATCTTGAATGTTCCACGTACACATCTAAAGTAACAGTTTAGAATTCAAAGGTTAGATCGACTTTATAGTGTCATAGCCAACATCTGAGTCCATAAACCTCTCCCCGGCACAGTGACACAATTACTGCTAGAAATGGATATGATATGAGCTGCAAAAATGGAGCTTGAAGTATTAGTAGTGAAAGGATGTGTAGTCACTGCCTGGCATTTCTAAGGTGACCAATAACTCATGAATGTCTAAATAAGCTGACGGCCATAAATCTATTTAATGAACATCCAAAGACTGGATGGTGGATACTTATTTACCTATCTGACTTTTCTTTCTACTCCTGATCTCCCAACCATCTTTCGCCTGATTGTGGTCTCCTGCTTGTCCCCCAAGCTTGTTTATATTCTAGAGGTGACAAGGCCTTTTCTTACTACTCCCCAAAGCTCCAGTAGTTCTTTTTCAAAGGATATCGGAGAGTCACCAACCCTGAACACATTCAAATCCACACTTAAAACCTTCTTCAGAAAGGCTTTTATTTAACTTGTCTATGTTTGCTTATTGCTTCTTTCATGTGTATCATCAGAAATGTAACCACACTCTGACTTATTGCAAACCTTTCATCTCTGTTCAACAGCAAAGTTTACTGTATATACTGTATAAGTACCGTATACTTTTTTATTTTATTGGTATGTTCTAGTATTAATGAATATACACATAGTCTGATCAGATACACCAACTTTAAGTCCTGTAAATCTCGGAAATATGGATTAAAAAAATTAATTGATAAGCCCATTGATAAGACCATTTGTGTTATCTTTCAGCATTCTGAAATGCTGAAGGCACATACTGTAGGCATATAGGCACAGTGCATCTGAAAAACTAATTTTGTCTCAGTTACACACTTCAAATATCTCTATATGAAAACAGATATATTAACATGGTCTGTGCAGGAGGCTTGCTTGGAACTAAAGGGCCATTACTGTATCTACAAACACAAACTAAAGTTTCAATAACTTTTGCCTATTTCATAAATGTGTGATCTTTAATGCAACATGTAAGCACAACACAATATTTAACACTGAAATGATACATTTGTAGCCTGTTTGTCTGAGATGACACAGGAGATGAAATTAAAAACTGGAAGTGAGAGAATTGTTTGCAAAGCCTACATGCTAATGAGTAAAAAAATAGCTTAGAGGGTTGTCCATAGTAAATAAAAGTGAAACATTTACATTTTCTAGAAACTTCAACAAAAAAGGGCATGAGGGGCTCAGTGCACATGGTGAAGGAAGTGATTGTTACAGGCATGTGCCCCAAGGGTATATATGGTGAAGGTATATACGTGATTTCACTTTTGTCATGAGTCTGGACATTTTGGACGTGATTGTCAATCATTGTTGCATGATGAGCTCACAAATATACAACTTAATTCTTAATGAAAAATGACTCCTTTGAAAAACTAAATATATCTTCATTGTCAATTTTTTCTTCAGTGATCTTCCCATGCAGTGGACCCAGCTGTCTCGAAACTGCAGCACTGACCGCAGTAGCTCCATCGGCAGCATGGAGAGTCTTGACCAGCCCAGTCACGGTTACTACGAGAGACAGCTGTCCCCGGTGGACCAGGCCGTCTTCAACAACAAGAGAGACTCGGCATACAGCTCCTTTTCTGCCAGCTCCAACACCTCGGATTACACGGTCTCCCTGAGGGCCGATGAGGCCAGCTCCATGGACAACCTCCTTCAGGGTTTGGGGAGTTGTCGCCATGCCGATGGCAGGTGCCTCCATGGAGCTGGTGAGGCGGGAGAGTTCTCAGAAGAAGGCAAATCCCGTTTCCCGGCCAAGCATCCGGAGGCCAAGGGCCGGCCGTCATCCTACAGCTACGAGGAAGACCGGGAAAACGCGATCGCCAGGGAACCTCCTCAGCCTCCAGCTCGCAGAGAGAGCTTCATCGCTACCCAGGCTGTTTCAGGATCCATAGACAAGCGCAGGGCCTCGGCTCCAGTTGACATGCTGAGCCTCTCCAGCTCCTGGATCCGGGAATCGCGTTCATCCATGCGGAGTGAAGCCTCAAACCAGGAGTGCTGTCCTTGTGACACAGGAGGGTCAAGAGACTGCAAAGAGAATGGAACTGTGGAGCAATATTACACACTCAGCTCACAGCTTGAGCCTTGCTGTGACTGTAAGAAGGAAACAGATACCAAAGAGAGTTACCCTGGCTCATGTTCTTTAGACCAAGAGACAGATAGGCTAGACGCAAGCCCCTTGCTCGATGAGGCTTCCAGGCCAGACCCCATAGATAGCTCCTCTCATGTATCTTTTGTTTCTAAGAAGAAGCATCTGGTCATGGCACATAGACACAGCGCACCTGAAAAACTTGTTTCATCTCAGTTACACTGTCTTGATCTTTCCAACAGCAGCCAGGGCAGGAGTTCATCTCCCCACAACCAGTGGGTCAAATCTTCTTTGTGTCATGGGGAAAGTCCTGAGGCCCCCAGCAGTGATGCCTTATCTCAGAGCAAATGGGCAGAAAGCAGGTGTTCCACCCCCGGTTCAGCTGTCAATTCAGAAATGGAGGAGTCCAGAGTTGAAGCAGATGTCCTGGAAGCTGCTTTGCCTACACAGCACACCTGGGGAAGGTCACTCAGTGTGCCTGGGGACACCGTTAGCTGTCATTCTAAACCTGTCCAGGCTTTTGACTCCACCAACCAGAGGGAAGTGTGCCTGACCGCAGCATCCAGCATGGACGTTCTGCTGGAGGAGGTGAGGGAGGACGAAAGCCACCACCTGCAGCAGCTTATCCCGAAGCCCAACTCCTCCCGGCACCGGTCCTCCAAGTCGAGGAGACGCAGTGAGCGATTTGCCACAAATCTGCGCAACGAGATTCAGCGCAAGAAGGCGCAGCTGCAGAAAAGCAAGGGCTCATCTAGTCTCCTCTATGGAGAGGAGATGGTGGAAGAGGTGAGTGAGCAGCCTGAGTGCGAAGCAGCAGGTGGAGAGAGTGTCCCTTCCTCTCAGGGGATGGACAGCAGACCAAGTAAAGCTTCCATTGCCAGCGGAGCAAAGATCGGCCTGCCAAGCACTGGGAGTCCCAAAAAGACAGTGTGTGCGACTGCAAGCCCTCCTGGGCAGGTTTCTTGGCCGGACAATGGCACCAGATGTCAGGAAGCAGATGAGGTGGGAGCTTGTGGGAAAGGGGGGAGGTGGAAGTGGACTCCAGAACACAAGCTGCAGCCTAAAGGCATGCCAGAGAGGAAGTGCAAATGGGAAGTTACACGGGCACCCAGAACCACCAAACTAGCTGATGCTCCGGAGGAGTGCGACATCCCTCCCTTCGCTGACCGGAGAAAGTTCTTTGAGGAGACCAGCAAGAGCCTTTCAACCTCTCACCTTCCTGGCCTGGTGACCAGGCATAACAAACCCACCCATCCCAGGACATTACAGGCAAAATTGGAGCACTCTGGCAGCTCATTGGAGCAGAGCTGGAGGAGGTACTCTGCATCTGCTGGGTTCTCTTCCAAGGAGGCCAGCGTCTGCTGCCCCTCAGAGAGCAGAGGTTTAGAGCAGCAGGTGGTCAACCACCAAGAAAAAGAGGAATGTGATCCAGAACAGGACTTCTGTTGTGGACACCAACTGCTCAAGCCAGTGCCTCTTGAACCCCAGCCCTGCTTTGTCAACGAAGACTGTAAAAGGTCTCCTAAGAGATGTCAGCAGCCTTGCAAACACTATGCCCGTCCTCAGCACTCAGCTTTTCACCCTGTAACTGCAGCTGTGTGTGATGACTGCTCTCCCCCTCGTGTTCCCTGTAATCCGAGAAGCAGGACGCCGACTGAGGTGAGTTTTGAAAGCTGTTTTGAGGGGAAAAATCTTTTTGTTTTTTCATTACCTTCTTGAGTGGAAGGCTGAAAGCAAAGACCTCTAAAAAGAACGAGTGCTTTACAAGAACCCCTCAGAACGATTCAAGGTCAGATGAAATATAATAACCAACGTTAATTCCTTTATAAATTTCCGAATAGAGCAGAGTGTTGGCTGAATTTATTTCAGCACAGCTTTATTCTCTGTACTGAGTAATCACTCTTCACACCTGTTTGGATATTAAAACAGATTCTGCAAACAGATCCAATAACAGACAGGCATATTGCTGGCCAGATATTGCAGGTACCGACTGATATGTACTGTACATCCACTCAAATGTGAAGTCAAGAAAATGGATTCACTAATAATTAAAAGTATAATTAGTTAAAAAAGACCTTACTCTTTTATATCAGTGTGCATTTCCAGTGTGCAAGTACCCATGGAGGTCTAGTAACACAACACATTTACTGAAAAGCAGCCCTTTAAAAGTAAGATTATTAAAACACTCGAATATGTTTTTACACATTGAGAATAATCTCTTTTGGGATTGTGTATGGCCCTGTGACTACCTGGGCTTGGAATGTCAAAACTAAGAGCCAGAGTCCCAGTGAACACTAGACACTTACTGTAAGTCCATATTGTCCTAAAGGTAACACCTAGATCAATGATCACAATGATCAAAGGCACACTAGAGTTTTCTTTTTCCAGTTTATTTTAATTTAGGCAAACAATGACCACATACAGCCTATACAGTAACAGGCAATAACTGTTTTTAATCAGAACCTGAACATCACCACTGCTGTTTTAATGCTCAAACATTTTAGCAAATATAACGTCTGCAGAAAGCATAGTTATGAAGGTTTATGGAACATAAGAACTGCGAATCCACAGAAATCAGAACATAAAGGTTCCAAACGAGAAGAGGCTCTTCAACCCATCTAATCCATTTGGTAGTTAATAGATTCTTCAACCTAGGATCCAGCCATTTCTTGAAAGAAACTAGGGTATCGGCTTCAACAACATGGCTGGGAAGTTTGTTCCAGAACTCCTCAGAGTTCTCAGAGAGAAGATGTGCCTCTTGGCCTGGTTGGAGGATTTGTATCCAACTGTTTCTTGAAAGAATCCAGTGGATTGGCTTCAACAACATGGCTGGGTAGTTGAACTCTTTGTTTAAAGCAGTGCCACCACTTTTCAGTTTTAAAAACACTCCCACATAGTTTCCACTTCTTCCCTCTGGTTTGTATTATACTGTGAAATGTCGCCACCTTTGTAACATAAATGTGAAGAAGATATAATCTAGTGTAAGTATAATGAGAGAAATGTAATGTTCAAAACCCAGCCATGTTGTTGAAGGTGATAGCCTAGCTTCTTTCAAAAAACAGCTGAATGAGATCCAACTGGCCATTAACTACCAAACAGGCTACCTGGGCTGAATGGCTTCCCCTTGTTTGTAACCTCTCTTACGTTCTATAAATAGTAATGTTTAACTTTGTGCCCAATAACTTAATATTCTATTTATTTTAGTTGCCGTTCTTAGAACAATTGGTCTAGGTGTCCCTGTTTTCTCCTGATTAACTTAGCAAATGGTTTTCACAGGCACATCCTGCAAGGGATCAGGAACACACAAACACCAACAGGAAGCTCAGTCTGACAGAGAGGTAAAGTATTTCGTCCGTGGTTCTTGTTAGTCATGGAATAAACCTGGAATGACTGTCATTATCAAGATTATTGGTCATTTCAGGGAAAACAAAAATCTCATGAGACACGTGACAGACATTAAAAGGCTGAGGATGCCTAATATTTTACAGTGGAGTCCAGAATGCCTTTGTGAATGTCACTGTTTATTTTATTCATGACAAAAGTCCCACAAACACTGCCTGTGACAATTCAGTTAATGCATTTACACAGAAATCTGTTTCATTCTGTTCAGTGCCTCAGAAACCAGAGCCAGATTCTTGAATAAGGAAAAAAGGAAGCAGGCTTCTAAGAGTATTAGTACTTTTGTTATACAGAGATTGCTTAGACTTGGTTATGTAAAAAATCTATACTGTTCTCTCTTATTTTCAAACACTGGATGAGGTTTGTGTCTGGGGCCTTCAGTTGTATGTGAAAGAGTTTTTGTCTTGCTTCTAGAGACTACCAGCATCACAAACACGACCTCCAGACAGCAGAGGGAGCTGTGGAGCAGGAGAACACCCATTGGGGTCGGTGGAGCGAAGCTCAGGGCTTTGATCTACCTTCGCCCCCACCTCATCCCGATGAGCGAGCACCTTGTTATCCCCAGCGGGGCCGGGCCCTCTCTGAGAGCGACATCCGCCTGGACCTGCAGCGATTGCGGCACCGGGCCATGGTTTTCGGTGGGCAGGCCCTCAGTGAACTCGAAGAGGCAGCCCCAAGGAAGAAAGGCCCACCACCCCCAAGACCTCCTCCTCCTAACTGGGAGCAGTACAGACGCAGGAGGGCATCCCAGCACAGCCTGTATGCCCCCTCATCCCCTTGCGAGCCAGCTGCTCCATCCCAGCTGACTAGGCCTGTGCACCCAGGCCACAAGTGCTTCGAAGGCTCTACTTGCTCTGCCTGTGGCTTGGAGACATCCCGACAGCGGTCCCACAGTCTGCCCCTCCGAGGCTTCTCTGAGAGCTGCCTACACTGTTGTAAAGAACACGTCGCAACTCCCCGGAGTCCCACGTCTCCACCTGCAACCTTCACACCAGCCTGCTGCCTGAGAGAGGACTCGGAGCACGGTGACTCTGAACCACGCGGGGCTACAGACTCGCTGGCACAGCCTCCAAATTTGCACACAAGGTGAGAGAATGTGATGTTCATATGTGGTTATACTCCTTTTAGTTACTGGTACTATTCACAAGATAGAAATACCTAAGATCCAGTAGATTAGACTAAGTGATACTACTGATATTTAGTATCACTACTGATATACTGGTTAAATCTGAAACGACTTAGACCGGGTTGACCTTGATATCCACATCTTTCAGTAGACACTTTCAATATGCTTTTAAAATGCATCAAGTACTGTAGGGTGGAACTTGAGTAGCTTCAATAACTCAATTTAGGTCTTACAGTCAGTGGCAGAGCCAAGACTTGAACTTGGAAACAGGGAAACTTAGGGTATTTTTCTGCCTTAACATACTGCCAGGCCGTCTTAGCAGTATTGCAACACATTGGACTGACTGTTCTGAAGAGAAGATGTTATCTGGGTCTTGGCTGTCATTAGAGGATTAATGTTTCTAAATTGGCATGCTGTGTTTTTGGCTGGTCATGTAGGTCAGCACCTGTATGAGGCCTGTATAGTTGGGCCTTGCCTTGCTCAGCCCATTAATGATCAGAGCTGCAACTGACCTCATTCTCATCCCCCAATGTTTTCTATCTCTGCTACAGTTGATATTATTGTACTGCATTGGCAGAGTAGAAAGTACATAAAATGTCACTCAATCAAATTTTATCAAGGAAGGACCATTTGGAGCCCTACACTTCAAGGCAGTGAGAATAATTGCAAAAACAAACCTTTAAAGGCAGGTTGAAAAATTAAATAGGAGCCCTTCTGCCTTCACTCTTACCTATGTGTGGTCTCGGGATTTGTAACCCTGAGCCCCGAGATGAAAAACGCTTTTGGTTTGTGCAGATCAGTCTTTTGGAGTTTGGCTGAATATGACTCCCACCATCTCCTGATGGTAAGTGAGGCACTGGAATTGTTTATTTTGATTCTAAACTAATCCTCGTTTGTGCTGTTGTAGGGTGTCTGGATCTCCACCTCGGAGTACAGAGGCAGAGATGGACAGGCCAGCTGCGCTGAGGCTAGTGACCGTTTCCCAGAGGACAGTAGAATGGGACAGGAGTTCTGTGCCTGCTGGCCTGCATTGTTTGGGCATCAATGCGGAAAATGGCTCCCGAGGTCTTCCAGAATCTTACTTTTCCATGAACTATGAGCAGCACAGAGAGCTGAACAGGAGTCGGGAGGAGCCCAGCAAGCCAGCCCAGAAGGCGCTGCCTGTTCACCATTTCAGTGAGACGCCACTGGAAACGGATATAGACGAGTTCAAGGAAGACGAAATAGAAGAAGAGCTTGCCAGGATTGGCCACAATGACCCACAGCATGTGACTGTTTTGGAGACAAATATAGACACCCTCCCTCAGGAGGTGGGCTGTCCAGTGGCGGAGTCCAGGTCTGGCGGAACATCCACAGCAGATGTCCTGGGACCTGATGTGGGGTTGAAGTCCAGAACTGACCTCACAGGGGAGCTATTTCCCCAGATGGGAGGAGAGTGTGGCCTTGGGCAGCCCAGGAGGTGCAGTCGCAGTGCCTTGGAGTTCAGTGTGGACACACTAGAAAAGTGAGCAGAGTTTAAATGGGGAATAGGAACGTTTAGCAACGTTTAGGCTGAAGACCATAAGGAGTTCTTTTGAAAATCCAGAGGAACACTTAAGAGATTCTCCAGAGGTCTGAGCTATAGGCAATACAGGCCTGCTTTCACAATAGTAGAATACGTGCACTGTCATCTACCCTGGTCTGTGTGTTCTTACTTTGACAGGTCAAAACTGGTCAGGTGTACGTTTGCATCACCTAAATGATGTGCAGTTCTTTAAACACGAGTTAGCATTGTGTACACATAAACAGGCATGCCGTGAGAGCAAACAAAAAGTAGCCGATCTGAATCCAGAATAGCCTGCTCCGAGTAATATTTAGAAACAACTATAGAGGTGAAGGTAAAAAGAAGGAAAGGTTTATTTATGCTTATAACCCACTATAAATATAATTCCTGCTCATAACCAACTATATGTTTGCCCTCTTCTCCATTGAAACAACTAGAGTCTTGGTAAAGTTATTCTTATTTCAAATCTTAGAATTTCAAAATATAAGATAGAATGAGCGTCATATACAATTGCTATATTTGATATCTTAAAATCTTATAGTCATGATCCTGGTCCTCAAAGGACTGTGTTGTATGTTTCATAGTAATTTCACTTTTCTCACTAGGGTGGAGAGATCAGATCTATTGATCCTGGTGTTCCACAGGCAACACTGACTCTGTCTCTGTCCCCTCCAGGCGCTCCAGACAGGGCAGCTCCGGCTCATCCTGTTCGGCCTACTACAGCACCTCTGCTGCCAAGGCCCACCTGCTAAGCAAGATGAAGGAGCTGCCAGGGCTGAACCAGGAGGAGGAGGAAGACGAGCTCTTCTTTAAGAAGGTACTGCTGCTGCCCACTGCTTTTGTACATGTTTTGTTTTTTTTGTGTGGGATGTACTAAATTACTGTAGCACTGTATCCTCCCAGCACTGGGGTCCTGGGTTCAATGCCTGACCTGGGGTGCTATCTTGGGTGGAGCGGTGGCTCTGTGGCTTAGGATCTGCGCCTGTGGCTGGAAGGTTGCCGGTTCAAATCCCACGGCCGGCAGAGGAATTTTACTCCGTTGGGCCCCTGAGCAAGGCCCTTAACCCCAACTGCTCCAGGGGCGCCGTATAAATGGCTGACTCTGCACTCTGACCCCAACCTCCTCTCCCTGTCTGTGTGTCTATGTCTCATGGAGAGCAAGCTGGGGTATGCGAAAAGACAAATTCCTAATGCAAGGAATTTTATATGGCCAATAAAGTGATCTTATCTTATCTGTGTGGAGTTTGTATGTTCTCATGGGTTTCCTCCAGGTGCTCCAGTTTCCTCCCATGGGGTAAAGACATACTGGTGGGTTAATTGGCCTCTTGGAGAACTGGCCCTGGTGCGAGTGTGTGTATTTGTGTCTGTGCGTGCCCTGTGATGGACTGGCATCCCATCCAGGGTGAATCTCACCTTGTGCCCGTTGCTTGCCGGGATAGGCTCCAGCTCCCCCGTGACCTCAAATGGGATTAAAAATAATGGTGGATGTACTATTTTTTTTTAATTTGTGCTGAAGAGGTAGTGTTCAGAAAGCATTTCTTGCTCGGGCTGAATTGAGGTTTTCCTAAAAGGAAACACTTTCTTTCACACAAATTTTCTCATTCCCTACATGTTTTCTTATTTGGAGATGCAAATGTGTAGGGTGTCGATACATGTTTTATGAATATAAACCAATATGCCAAAATGAAAACCCTCATAATTGAAGGCAGATGACATGAGCTCATATCCCAAATGTGCAGTTATAGCCAGACAGGAAGAAATACAAAAAAAAGGCTAAATAATGAATAGTTACCAGCTTTTCTAATTTTATTATATTTGCTTTTTTCCCCCTCCCAGGAATATTTTCTGCTGTAACAACTACTCAGGTTAACCTACGAAAAATTTCTTACTGCTGAGTAACAGGAAATAACGTGTGGAAGCAATTTTCTGTTGTACCTTAATTCTTCATCAAGTGCTTTGTAAATCATTGCTCAGGCTAGATTCTCTTGCACACATTCTGTCTGCAGGCTTTGAAGACTCTTTTTACTGACTTTTTTAGAGAAAATAACATGCAGAGAATATAAAATAGACTTTGAATAACCTAATGAAACTGCTGGGCTAGAGAGCTTGGTGAGCGTATTTCACAAAGAACAGGGAGGAGTGTTCTAGAATGTTCATACTGTTCTTTTGACTAGTGTATCAGTCAACGTGATGACTTTAGATCACAGAGGGTGAGCACAGTCCAGTAGTCTGATTCTGATAAAGGAGGAAACGTGAGGTGTCTGGAAGTTTCTGAGATGTTCTACAGTAAAGCATATTCAGACTGTTCTAAAGAGATATTGTTTGGCTCTTGGCTATCATTAGGGGATTAATGTTTCTAAATTGGCATGTTGTGTGCTTGGCTGGTCATGTATATCAGCAGCTGTACAAGGCCTGTATAGTTGGGCCTTGCCTTTCTTTAGCCTTTTAATGATCAGAGCTGCAACTGACCTCCCTCTCATTCCCCAACCCTCTCTCTGTCTGAGTTTAGCAAGGTTCAGTAAGTAATTTCACAATCCTAAATTTGGGGAGGCATTCAAAGAATGATTCTAGTGTTTCTAAACTGTTTTAAGAGGAAGATAAGCACAAAATTATTAGAAACTCTTACTCAGTTAAGTTCTGTGACTCTGATCTGCAAGAACAGACAGACACACCTATTATAGTTACTTAAATACACAAGGAAGTGCTACTGATTTGATTCTTTAAATGCCCCCAAACAGATATTGACTCCAAGGCAGATTGAAACATCTCATACAGTAAAAAAAGCCATGCACATTTCAGATGCTAACTGGGCATAAAACAAATTTGGAAAAATCTGTATACCTTTTCTATTGGTGTGTAGGACAATTACTAAAACCATAAAGAAGAAACTCTTAATATACAATATGTAAAGTTTCTGAAGGAATTTATGAAAATTAATCTTGAAGGAATAGAAAGCCGATGTGTCTTTCAACAATAGAGTTTTGTGCATTACAACATGTGGGAGTTTCTCCTTTATTCACTTGCAGGGCACCATATTGTGACCCCTAAACTTTTTCATGTTGGACAGCTTGAGCAGGTCATGGCATGCATATCAACTGGATTGGGGTCTGTGGATTTTTCTGGCCAGAGCAGGTGATGAGAGCCTCTTAAGTTCCTCATTCCAATTACACATTGCCTGCTGTCGAGAGAGTCTATTCATATGTCTGGCAGTTTTTGGTGTTTTGTCTGGAGGTTGTCCAAGTACCACATCTTGAGCACTTCATGATACGGTCTCTTCTTCTGCAGCAACAGCTGATAGACAGCCTGCGAAAGAAGCTGACCGTTCTCCGTGAGGCCCAGAAGGACCTGCAGGAAGACATCACTGCCAATGGGGCTCTGGGGGAGGAAGTGGAGACCTTGGTCCAGGCAGTCTGCAAGCCTAACGAGGTGGACAAATTCCGCATGTTCATCGGAGACCTGGACAAGGTGGTCAACCTGTTGCTGTCACTGTCTAGCCGCCTAGTCAGGGTGGAGAGCACATTGGATAGCCTGAGCCCAGATGCCAACCACCATGAGCGGGTAAGGAGCA